GTGCCTCCACCACCACCCTGTGTAGTGCCTCCACCACCCTGTGTAGTGCCTCCACCACCCTGTGTAGTGCCTCCACCACCCTGTGTACCCTGTGTAGTGCCTCCCTGTGTACCACCCTGTGTAGTGCCTCCACCACCCTGTGTGTGCCTCCACCACCCTGTGTAGTGCCTCCACCACCCTGTGTAGTGCCTCCACCACCCTGTGTAGTGCCACCACCACCCTGTGTAGTGCCTCCACCACCCTGTGTAGTGCCTCCACCACCCTGTGTAGTGCCTCCACCACCCTGTGTAGTGCCTCCACCACCCTGTGTAGTGCCTCTACCACCCTGTGTAGTGCCTCCACCACCCTGTGTAGTGCCTCCACCACCCTGTGTAGTGTCTCCACCACCACCCTGTGTAGTGCCTCTACCACCCTGTGTAGTGCCTCCACCATCACCCTGTGTAGTGCCTCCACCACCCTGTGTAGTGCCTCCACCACCCTGTGTAGTGCCTCCACCACCCTGTGTAGTGCCTCCACCACCCTGTGTAGTGCCTCCACCACCCTGTGTAGTGCCTCCACCACCCTGTGTAGTGCCTCCACCACCCTGTGTAGTGCCTCCATCACCCTGTGTAGTGCCTCCATCACCCTGTGTAGTGCCTCCACCACCCTGTGTAGTGCCTCCACCACCCTGTGTAGTGCCTCCACCACCCTGTGTAGTGCCTCCACCACCCTGTGTAGTGCCTCCACCACCACCCTGTGTAGTGCCTCCACCACCACCCTGTGTAGTGCCTCCACCACCACCCTGTGTAGTGCCTCCACCATCACCCTGTGTAGTGCCTCCACCACCCTGTGTAGTGCCTCCACCACCCTGTGTAGTGCCTCCACCACCCTGTGTAGTGCCTCCACCACCCTGTGTAGTGCCTCCACCATAACCCTGTGTAGTGCCTCCACCACCCTGTGTAGTGCCTCCACCACCACCCTGTGTAGTGCCTCCACCATCACCCTGTGTAGTGCCTCCACCACCCTGTGTAGTGCCTCCACCACCCTGTGTAGTACCTCCCCCACCCTGTGTAGTGCCTCTACCACCACCCTGTGTAGTGCCTCCACCACCCTGTGTAGTGCCTCCACCATCACCCTGTGTAGTGCCTCCACCATCACCCTGTGTAGTGCCTCCACCATCACCCTGTGTAGTGCCTCCACCACCACCCTGTGTAGTGCCTCCACCACCACCCTGTGTAGTGCCTCCACCACCCTGTGTAGTGCCTCCACCACCCTGTGTAGTGCCTCCACCACCCTGTGTAGTGCCTCCACCACCACCCTGTGTAGTGCCTCCACCACCCTGTGTAGTACCTCCCCCACCCTGTGTAGTGCCTCTACCACCACCCTGTGTAGTGCCTCCACCACCCTGTGTAGTACCTCCCCTACCCTGTGTAGTGCCTCCACCATCACCCTGTGTAGTGCCTCCACCACCCTGTGTAGTGCCTCCACCATCACTCAGTGTAGTGCCTCCACCATCACCCTGTGTAGTGCCTCCACCATCACCCTGTGTAGTGCCTCCACCATCACCCTGTGTAGTGCCTCCACCATCACCCTGTGTAGTGCCTCCACCACCCTGTGTAGTGCCTCCACCACCCTGTGTAGTGCCTCCACCATCACCCTGTGTAGTGCCTCCACCACCCTGTGTAGTGCCTCCACCATCACCCTGTGTAGTGCCTCCACCACCCTGTGTAGTGCCTCCACCACCACCCTGTGTAGTGCCTCCATCACCCTGTGTAGTGCCTCCACCACCCTGTGTAGTGCCTCCACCACCCTGTGTAGTGCCTCCACCACCCTGTGTAGTGCCTCCACCACCCTGTGTAGTGCCTCCACCACCCTGTGTAGTGCCACCACCACCCTTTGTAGTGCCTCCACCACCCTGTGTAGTGCCTCCACCACCCTGTGTAGTGCCTCTACCACCCTGTGTAGTGCCTCCACCACCCTGTGTAGTGCCTCCACCACCCTGTGTAGTGCCTCCACCACCCTGTGTAGTGCCTCCACCACCCTGTGTAGTGCCTCCACCACCCTGTGTAGTGCCTCCACCACCCTGTGTAGTGCCTCCACCATCACCCTGTGTAGTGCCTCCACCACCCTGTGTAGTGCCTCCACCACCCTGTGTAGTGCCTCCATCACCCTGTGTAGTGCCTCCACCACCCTGTGTAGTGCCTCCACCACCCTGTGTAGTGCCTCCACCACCCTGTGTAGTGCCTCCACCACCCTGTGTAGTGCCTCCACCACCCTGTGTAGTGCCTCCACCACCCTGTGTAGTGCCTCCACCACCCTGTGTAGTGCCTCCACCACCACCCTGTGTAGTGCCTCCACCACCACCCTGTGTAGTGCCTCCACCACCACCCTGTGTAGTGCCTCCACCATCACCCTGTGTAGTGCCTCCACCATCACCCTGTGTAGTGCCTCCACCACCCTGTGTAGTGCCTCCACCACCCTGTGTAGTGCCTCCACCACCCTGTGTAGTGCCTCCACCACCACCCTGTGTAGTGCCTCCACCATCACCCTGTGTAGTGCCTCCACCACCCTGTGTAGTGCCTCCACCACCCTGTGTAGTGCCTCCCCCACCCTGTGTAGTGCCTCTACCACCACCCTGTGTAGTGCCTCCACCACCCTGTGTAGTGCCTCCACTATCACCCTGTGTAGTGCCTCCACCATCACCCTGTGTAGTGCCTCCACCACCACCCTGTGTAGTGCCTCCACCACCACCCTGTGTAGTGCCTCCACCACCACCCTGTGTAGTGCCTCCACCACCACCCTGTGTAGTGCCTCCACCACCCTGTGTAGTGCCTCCACCACCACCCTGTGTAGTGCCTCCACCACCCTGTGTAGTACCTCCCCCACCCTGTGTAGTGCCTCTACCACCACCCTGTGTAGTGCCTCCACCACCCTGTGTAGTACCTCCCCCACCCTGTGTAGTGCCTCTACCACCAACCTGTGTAGTGCCTCCACCACCCTGTGTAGTGCCTCCACCATCACCCTGTGTAGTGCCTCTACCACCACCCTGTGTAGTGCCTCCACCATCACCCTGTGTAGTGCCTCCACCATCACCCTGTGTAGTGCCTCCACCATCACCCTGTGTAGTGCCTCCACCATCACCCTGTGTAGTGCCTCCACCAATCACCCTGTGTAGTGCCTCCACCACCACCCTGTGTAGTGCCTCCACCACCCTGTGTAGTGCCTCCACCATCACCCTGTGTAGTGCCTTCACCATCACCCTGTGTAGTGCCTCCACCATCACCCTGTGTAGTGCCTCCACCACCCTGTGTAGTGCCTCCACCATCACTCAGTGTAGTGCCTCCACCATCACCCTGTGTAGTGCCTCCACCATCACCCTGTGTAGTGCCTCCACCATCACCCTGTGTAGTGCCTCCACCATCACCCTGTGTAGTGCCTCCACCACCCTGTGTAGTGCCTCCATCACCCTGTGTAGTGCCTCCACCATCACCCTGTGTAGTGCCTCCACCACCCTGTGTAGTGCCTCCACCATCACCCTGTGTAGTGCCTCCACCACCCTGTGTAGTGCCTCCACCATCACCCTGTGTAGTGCCTCCATCACCCTTTGTAGTGCCTCCACCACCCTGTGTAGTACCTCCACCACCCTGTGTAGTGCCTCCACCACCCGGTGTAGTGCCTCCACCACCCTGTGTAGTGCCTCTACCACCCTGTGTAGTGCCTCCACCACCCTGTGTAGTGCCTCCACCACCCTGTGTAGTGCCTCCACCATCACTCAGTGTAGTGCCTCCACCACCCTGTGTAGTGCCTCCACCACCCTGTGTAGTGTCTCTACCACCCTGTGTAGTGTCTCTACCACCCTGTGTAGTGCCTCCACCACCCTGTGTAGTGTCTCTACCACCCTGTGTAGTGCCTCCACCATCACCCTGTGTAGTGCCTCCACCATCACTCAGTGTAGTGCCTCCACCATCACCCTGTGTAGTGACTCCCCCACCCTGTGTAGTGCCTCCACCACCCTTTGTAGTGCCTCCACCACCCTGTGTAGTGTCTCTACCACCCTGTGTAGTGCCTCCACCAACACCCTGTGAAGTGCCTCCACCACCACCATGTGTAGTGCCTCCCACACCACCCTCTGTAGTGCCTCCACCATCACCCTGTGTAGTGCCTCCCACACCACCCTCTGTAGTGCCTCCACCATCACCCTGTGTAGTGCCTCCACCACCCTGTGTGGTGCCTCCACCATCACCCTGTGTAGTGCCTCCACCACCCTGTGTAGTGCCTCCACCACCCTGTGTAGTGCCTCCACCACCCTGTGTAGTGCCTCCACCACCACCCTGTGTAGTGCCTCCACCACCCTGTGTAGTGCCTCCACCACCCTGTGTAGTGCCTCCACCACCACCCTGTGTAGTGCCTCCACCATCACCCTGTGTAGTGCCTCCACCACCCTGTGTAGTGCCTCCACCACCCTGTGTAGTGCCTTCACCACCCTGTGTAGTGCCTCTACCATCACCCTGTGTAGTGCCTCCACCACCCTGTGTAGTGCCTCCACCACCCTGTGTAGTGCCTCCACCACCCTGTGTAGTGCCTCCACCACCCTGTGTAGTGCCTCCACCACCCTGTGTAGTGCCTCCACCACCCTGTGTAGTGCCTCCACCACCCTGTGTAGTGCCTCCACCACCCTGTGTAGTGCCTCTACCACCCTGTGTAGTGCCTCTACCACCCTGTGTAGTGCCTCCACCACAACCCTGTTTAGTGCCTCCACCACCCTGTGTAGTGCCTCCACCCATGTACTTGCTGGGAGTACCACCACCTCCCATGTACTTGCAGGGAGTACCACCACCTCCCATGTACTTGCAGGGAGTACCACCACCTCCCATGTACTTGCAGGGAGTACCACCACCACCCATGTACTTGCTGGGAGTACTAACTTCACCTATGTACTTGCAGGGAGTACCACCACCTCCCATGTACTTGCTGGGAGTATCATCACCTCCCATGTACTTGCTGGGAGTACCACCACCACCTCACATGTACTTGCCGGGAGTACCAACACCACTCATATACTTGCTGGGAGTATTAACACCTCCCATGTACTTGCTGGGAGTACCACCACCACCACCCATGTACTTGCTGGGAGTACCACCACCACTCATGTACTTGCTGGGAGTACTAACACCTCCCATGTACTTGCCAGGAGTACTAACACCTCCCATGTACTTGCTGGGAGTACCACCACCACCCATGTACCTCCTGGGAGTACCAACACCTCCCATGTACTTGCTGGGAGTACCACCACCACCCATGTACTTGCTGGGAGTACTAACACCCCCCATGTACTTGCTGGGAGTACTAACACCTCCCATGTACTTGCCAGGAGTACTAACACCTCCCATGTACTTGCTAGGAGTACTAACACCTCCTATGTACTTGCAGGGAGTACCACCACCACCCATGTTCTTGCTGGGAGTACTAACACCTCTCATGTACTTGCTGGGAGTACTAACACCTCCCATGTACTTGCCAGGAGTACTAACACCTCCTATGTACTTGCTGGGAGTACCACCACCACCCATGTACTTGCTGGGAGTACTAACACCTCCCATGTACTTGCTGGGAGTACTAACACCGCCCGTGTACTTGCTGGGAGTACCACAACCACCCATGTACTTGCTGGAAGTACCACCACCACCTCCCATGTACTTGCTGGGAGTACCACTACCACCCATGTACTTGCCAGGAGTACTAACACCTCCTATGTACTTGCCAGGAATACTAACATCACCCATGTACTTGCTGGGAGTACTAACACCGCCCATGTACTTGCTGGGAGTACCACCACCACCCATGTACTTGCTGGAAGTACCACCACCACCTCCCATGTACTTGCTGGGAGTACCACCACCACCCATGTACTTGCCAGGAGTACTAACACCTCCCATGTACTTGCTGGGAGTACTAACACCTCCCATGTACTTGCAGGGAGTACTAACACCTCCCATGTACTTGCCAGGAGTACTAACACCTCCCATGTACTTGCCAGGAGTACTAACACCTCCCATGTACTTGCTAGGAGTACTAACACCTCCTATGTACTTGCAGGGAGTACCACCACCACCCATGTTCTTGCTGGGAGTACTAACACCTCTCATGTACTTGCTGGGAGTACTAACACCTCCCATGTACTTGCCAGGAGTACTAACACCTCCTATGTACTTGCAGGGAGTACCACCACCACCCATGTACTTGCTGGGAGTACTAACACCTCCCATGTACTTGCTGGGAGTACTAACACCGCCCATGTACTTGCTGGGAGTACCACAACCACCCATGTACTTGCTGGAAGTACCACCACCACCTCCCATGTACTTGCTGGGAGTACCACTACCACCCATGTACTTGCCAGGAGTACTAACACCTCCTATGTACTTGCCAGGAATACTAACATCACCCATGTACTTGCTGGGAGTACTAACACCGCCCATGTACTTGCTGGGAGTACCACCACCACCCATGAACTTGCTGGAAGTACCACCACCACCTCCCATGTACTTGCTGGGAGTACCACCACCACCCATGTACTTGCCAGGAGTACTAACACCTCCCATGTACTTGCTGGGAGTACTAACACCTCCCATGTACTTGCTGGGAGTACTAACACCTCCCATGTACTTGCAGGTACCACCGGTGAGTCCTCCCCGGCCCTGATGGTGCTAGACCCTGCCACGGTGAGTCCTCCCTGGCCCTGATAGTGCTAGACCCTGCCACGGTGAGTCCTCCCTGGCCCTGACGGTGCTAGACCCTGCCACGGTGAGTCCTCCCTGGCCCTGATAGTGCTAGACCCTGCCACGGTGAGTCCTACCCGGCCCTGATGGTGCTAGACCCTGCCACGGTGAGTCCTCCCCGGCCCTGATGGTGCTAGACCCTGCCACGGTGAGTCCTCCCCGGCCCTGATGGTGCTAGACCCTGCCACGGTGAGTCCTCCCCGGCCCTGGGCCCTGACGGTGCTAGACCCTGCCACGGTGAGTCCTCCCCGGCCCTGATGGTGCTAGACCCTGCCACGGTGAGTCCTCCCCGGCCCTGACGGTGCTAGACCCTGCCACGGTGAGTCCTCCCCGGTCCTGATGGTGCTAGACCCTGCCACAGTGAGTCCTACCCGGCCCTGATGGTGCTAGACCCTGCCACGGTGAGTCCTCCCCAGCCCTGACGGTGCTAGACCCTGCCACGGTGAGTCCTCCCCGGCCCTGATGGTGCTAGACCCTGCCACGGTGAGTCCTCCCCGGCCCTGATGGTGCTAGACCCTGCCACGGTGAGTCCTCCCCGGCCCTGACGGTGCTAGACCCTGCCACGGTGAGTCCTACCCGGCCCTGATGGTGCTAGACCCTGCTACGGTGAGTCCTACCCGGCCCTGATGGTGCTAGACCCTGCCACGGTGAGTCCTCCCCGGCCCTGATGGTGCTAGACCCTGCCACGGTGAGTCCTACCCGGCCCTGATGGTGCCAGACCCTGCCAAGGTGAGTCCTCCCTGGCCCTGATGGTGCTAGACCCTGCCACGGTGAGTCCTCCCTGGCCCTGATGGTGCTAGACCCTGCCACGGTGAGTCTCCCCGGCCCTGTGATGTATGGTGATGACTGATGGTGTTGACTGGCTCACTGGGGCGCCTGTGATGTATGGTGATGACTGATGGTGTTGACTGGCTCACTGGGGCGCCTGTGATGTATAGTGATGACTGATGGTGTTGACTGGCTCACTGGGGCGCCTGTGATGTATGGTGATGACTGGCTCACTGGGGCGCCTGTGATGTATGGTGATGACTGATGGTGTTGACTGGCTCACTGGGGCGCCTGTGATGTATGGTGATGACTGATGGTGTTGACTGGCTCACTGGGGCGCCTGTGATGTATGGTGATGACTGATGGTGTTGACTGGCTCACTGGGGCGCCTGTGATGTATGGTGATGACTGATGGTGTTGTCTGGCTCACTGGGGCGCCTGTGATGTATGGTGTTGACTGATGGTGTTGACTGGCTCACTGGGGCGCCTGTGATGTATGGTGATGACTGGCTCACTGGGGCGCCTGTGATGTATGGTGATGACTGGCTCACTGGGGCGCCTGTGATGTATGGTGATGACTGGCTCACTGGGGCGCCTGTGATGTATGGTGATGACTGATGGTGTTGACTGGCTCACTGGGGCGCCTGTGAAGTATGGTGATGACTGATGGTGTTGACTGGCTCACTGGGGCGCCTGTGATGTATGGTGATGACTGGCTCACTGGGGCGCCTGTGATGTATGGTGATGACTGGCTCACTGGGGCGCCTGTGATGTATGGTGATGACTGGCTCACTGGGGCGCCTGTGATGTATGGTGATGACTGATGGTGTTGACTGGCTCACTGGGGCGCCTGTGAAGTATGGTGATGACTGATGGTGTTGACTGGCTCACTGGGGCGCCTGTGATGTATGGTGATGACTGATGGTGTTGACTGGCTCACTGGGGCGCCTGTGATGTATGGTGATGACTGGCTCACTGGGGCGCCTGTGATGTATGGTGATGACTGATGGTGTTGACTGGCTCACTGGGGCGCCTGTGATGTATGGTGATGACTGATGGTGTTGACTGGCTCACTGGGGCGCCTGTGAAGTATGGTGATGACTGATGGTGTTGACTGGCTCACTGGGGCGCCTGTGATGTATGGTGATGACTGGCTCACTGGGGCGCCTGTGATGTATGGTGATGACAGATGGTGTTGACTGGCTCACTGGGGCGCCTGTGATGTATGGTGATGACTGATGGTGTTGACTGGCTCACTGGGGCGCCTGTGATGTATGGTGATGACTGATGGTGTTGACTGGCTCACTGGGGCGCCTGTGATGTATGGTGATGCCTGATGGTGTTGACTGGCTCACTGGGGCGCCTGTGAAGTATGGTGATGACTGATGGTGATGACTGGCTCACTGGGGCGCCTGTGATGTATGGTGATGACTGATGGTGATGACTGGCTCACTGGGGCGCCTGTGATGTATGGTGATGACTGATGGTGTTGACTGGTTCACTGGGGCGCCTGTGATGTATGGTGATGACTGATGGTGATGACTGGCTCACTGGGCGCCTGTGATGTATGGTGATGACTGGCTCACTGGGGCGCCTGTGATGTATGGTGATGACTGATGGTGTTGACTGGCTCACTGGGGCGCCTGTGATGTATGGTGATGACTGATGGTGTTGACTGGCTCACTGGGGCGCCTGTGATGTATGGTGATGACTGATGGTGTTGACTGGCTCACTGGGGCGCCTGTGATGTATGGTGATGACTGATGGTGTTGACTGGCTCACTGGGGCGCCTGTGAAGTATGGTGATGACTGATGGTGATGACTGGCTCACTGGGGCGCCTGTGATGTATGGTGATGACTGATGGTGTTGACTGGCTCACTGGGGCGCCTGTGATGTATGGTGATGACTGATGGTGTTGACTGGCTCACTGGGGCGCCTGTGATGTATGGTGTTGACTGATGGTGTTGACTGGCTCACTGGGGCGCCTGTGATGTATGGTGATGACTGGCTCACTGGGGCGCCTGTGATGTATGGTGATGACTGGCTCACTGGGGCGCCTGTGATGTACGGTGATGACTGATGGTGTTGACTGGCTCACTGGGGCGCCTGTGAAGTATGGTGATGACTGATGGTGATGACTGGCTCACTGGGGCGCCTGTGATGTATGGTGTTGACTGATGGTGTTGACTGGCTCACTGGGGCGATTGTGATGTATGGTGATGACTGGCTCACTGGGGCGCTTGTGAAGTATGGTGATGACTGATGGTGTTGACTGGCTCACTGGGACGCCTGTGAAGTATGGTGATGACTGATGGTGTTGACTGGCTCACTGGGGCGCTTGTGAAGTATGGTGATGACTGATGGTGTTGACTGGCTCACTGGGGCGCCTGTGATGTATGGTGATGACTGATGGTGTTGACTGGCTCACTGGGGCGCTTGTGAAGTATGGTGATGACTGGCTCACTGGGGCGCCTGTGATGTATGGTGATGACTGATGGTGTTGACTGGTTCACTGGGGCGCCTGTGATGTATGGTCATGACTGGCTCACTGGGGCGCCTGTGATGTATGGTGATGACTGATGGTGTTGACTGGCTCACTGGGGCGCTTGTGAAGTATGGTGATGACTGGCTCACTGGGGCGCCTGTGATGTATGGTGATGACTGATGGTGTTGACTGGTTCACTGGGGCGCCTGTGATGTATGGTGATGACTGGCTCACTGGGGCGCCTGTGATGTATGGTGATGACTGATGGTGTTGACTGGCTCACTGGGGCGCCTGTGAAGTATGGTGATGACTGGCTCACTGGGGCGCCTGTGATGTATGGTGATGACTGATGGTGTTGACTGGCTCACTGGGGCGCCTGTGATGTATGGTGATGACTGATGGTGTTGACTGGCTCACTGGGGCGCCTGTGATGTATGGTGATGACTGGCTCACTGGGGCGCCTGTGATGTATGGTGTTGACTGGCTCACTGGGGCGCCTGTGATGTATGGTGATGACTGGCTCACTGGGGCGCCTGTGATGTATGGTGTTGACTGATGGTGTTGACTGGCTCACTGGGGCGCCTGTGATGTATGGTGATGACTGGCTCACTGGGGCGCCTGTGATGTATGGTGATGACTGGCTCACTGGGGCGCCTGTGATGTATGGTGATGACTGGCTCACTGGGGCGCCTGTGATGTATGGTGATGACTGGCTCACTGGGGCGCCTGTGATGTATGGTGTTGACTGGCTCACTGGGGCGCCTGTGATGTATGGTGATGACTGATGGTGATGACTGGCTCACTGGGGCGCCTGTGAAGTATGGTGATGACTGATGGTGTTGACTGGCTCACTGGGGCGCCTGTGATGTATGGTGATGACTGATGGTGTTGACTGGCTCACTGGGGCGCCTGTGAAGTATGGTGATGACTGATGGTGATGACTGGCTCACTGGGGCGCCTGTGATGTATGGTGATGACTGATGGTGTTGACTGGCTCACTGGGGCGCCTGTGATGTATGGTGATGACTGATGGTGTTGACTGGCTCACTGGGGCGCCTGTGATGTATGGTGTTGACTGATGGTGTTGACTGGCTCACTGGGGCGCCTGTGATGTATGGTGATGACTGGCTTACTGGGGCGCCTGTGATGTATGGTGATGACTGGCTCACTGGGGCGCCTGTGATGTATGGTGATGACTGATGGTGTTGACTGGCTCACTGGGGCGCCTGTGAAGTATGGTGATGACTGATGGTGATGACTGGCTCACTGGGGCGCCTGTGATGTATGGTGTTGACTGATGGTGTTGACTGGCTCACTGGGGCGCCTGTGATGTATGGTGATGACTGGCTCACTGGGGCGCTTGTGAAGTATGGTGATGACTGATGGTGTTGACTGGCTCACTGGGACGCCTGTGAAGTATGGTGAAGACTGATGGTGTTGACTGGCTCACTGGGGCGCTTGTGAAGTATGGTGATGACTGATGGTGTTGACTGGCTCACTGGGGCGCCTGTGATGTATGGTGATGACTGATGGTGTTGACTGGCTCACTGGGGCGCTTGTGAAGTGTGGTGATGACTGGCTCACTGGGGCGCCTGTGATGTATGGTGATGACTGATGGTGTTGACTGGT